TCACAAGCAAGAAATGCGATCTAACCAATTCAACAGTAAATGGATGAGACCTGGTTGACAATCTAGTACTGCGCTTAAATTCGTAAAGTCTATGTATCATAGCAGAAGGTTCATCAGAACAATTACCATGAAAGTATTTAAAGAAACGACACAGGGAAGCTACAATACGTCGGTGAGAAAGCAACTAAAGCCGAGATGCCATGTCAGGGCCAATAATATTGCGGATTCTTCTTTGGATTTTATCAAGGATCGCTAAATATATAGCAGGAGAATCAGACCATATATGACAAAAATATTCAAAGTATGGACAAATGGTAGACTTATTTTCAGGATGTATAGGAAGACGCAATATATGTTCGTTATCAAGAGGAACAATCAAAGAGCCGAGCTACGATTTGGCGACACCACAATCAAGCAATTACAGAATTTTAACTATCTGGAAATTATTAATAACAGACTATGGAAAATATGAGGCGGAAATCCTAAGCTCCTTTTTAATATCGAAAGATGCCCCCAAAAGTTAAATAAAGTATTAAGAAACAGGAAAATTTCATTAAAAACAAAGAAAAGAGTGATAAACTAATATGTGATATCAATCCTCCGGTATGGCAGTGAATACTGGACAATATCTTCACGGATGAAAGGAGACTTGAGGCAACAGTGATGTGGTTCCATACAAGCATGCAAAGAATACCATGAACGGAGCATGTACGCAACCAGGAAGTCTTCATGAAAGGAGCTGAACTGTTATGTAATATCAGTCCTCCTATATGGAAGTGAATGCTGGACATTTTCCTCGCATACGAAGAGGAGACTTGAGACAACAGAGATGCAGTTCTACAGAAGAATGATAAGAATAACATGGACAGATCATATGAGCATGGAAAATAGAAACCAAAAGGAAATTTATACTTAGAATCAGAAAGAGACTGTTGAAATCTTTGAAATGCATGGTGAGAAAATTTGGCACACAAAACATAATGAAGGCAAAAGTGGTCGGGAGAAACATCGAGGGACCTACTTAAAGGGTCTGTGTAAATGTATTGCAGGACTTGGAGGGTTAGTAAAGAGACAAATATTACTTAGAGCTGCGTAGGATAGGAAGTTGTGGACGGCCACTATCACGTAAAATAAGAACAACACTCGGAATTTACGTACATATCTTGCTCTTCTTGGTTGACACACAAATATATATTTTCTCATCCAAGATACCAAGGAAACTTTAATAACTAGAGATTCATGAATTGTTCGTACCACTAACAGTAAACGTAAAACTTTCAATATTCAACATTATGGTTAATTTTTGTTTTTTTCATACAAGATACCAAGCAAATCTTACTAACCAGAGATTCATAAATTGTTCATACCACTAATGGCGAACGTAAAACTTTCAATATTCAACATTATGGTTAAATTTTTTTTTTTCATACAAGATACCAAGCAAATCTTACTAACCAGAGATTCATAAATTGTTAGTACCACTAATGGCGAACGCAAAACTTTCAATATTCAACATTATTGTTAAAAAATATATATTTTCATACAAGTTACTAAGGTAACCTTACTAATCAGAGATTCATAAATTGTTAGTACCACTAATGGCGAACGCAAAACTTTCAATATTCAACATTATTGTTAAAAAATATATATTTTCATACAAGTTACTAAGGTAACCTTATTAATCAGAGATTCATAAATTGTTCGTACCGCTAACGGCAACATAATTTTTCAATATTCACAAAGAAACCCCCACAGATCGAATTTAACGCTTTCCAGCCAACTTTGATTTTCAAAAATTTAAATGTAATGTCAATCGTCATCTACTGTCTTCTTGATTCCTCTTCTATTCTTCTCGCTCTTTAATAATGTTCCTCTCTTTTTTCTTATTCTTTCCTACTCAGTAAACACTTGTATCTTAGTGGCTTTACTTCCTTGCTTGGGGGAAATGATTAAAAAAATGTTTGTAATATTGGCATCTTTGTATTGTGAAATATTTTTGCCATGTTTGTAATATTGGGTAGAAAATAAAGTATAGGCATGTTTTAATATGGTATGTATATGGGTGATATGTGTATGTATATAGGGTTTATTTCCTATGGGTTCAATTCCCGTGTCTGGCAGTGTTAAAAAGTCACATATGCACTGGTTCAGTAGAATAAATGAACAATCGACACAATGTGACGTATAAGTGTAACAAATTTCGTGATTTTATTTTTCAATGTGGCTTGAATTTTATGCGATCGCCTTTGAAATCTATTTCAAGATGACACTGTGGAAATGCGCTGTTTTCACGCGATGAACCTTGATTATGGCCATGTGTGGGTAGGGCTTTCGATTGACAGATGATGTGGTTTTGTCGACAAATAATACTGCTCAAAAATGAATGCTATTTCAGAGATTAAAGTGACTCGAACGTGACTTGTCAATTTAAGGCTTAACTGAGAATAAAACTGAAAATTAGATCGGTCGAAATAAAAATGAAACGCCTTCATTATTATTTTGGGACGATGACGTGATCCCGGAAAGCGCCGGTTTTAAGTTCCATTTTCTGTGTGTCATGAAATGTTTTCCGTTTATCGGTTTTTATTAGTGTATAAAAAACATTTTCATTTTTACACCATTGCTCCAAAGTATATTTCATGTCCACGTCTAAAATTTAAGACTCCACAAAATCATTTTTATCATCATCATTATTATTATTATTATTATTCGTGATATCATCTTGCCAGAGAGTAATTTTAAGGACCTAATTAGCAAGTCCCTTCCGGGCTCTATCAGTAAAAAGAGCCCTTGTATAAGAGCTATGTACATTTGGTACGTTTCGCTTAGATGGAGAGAGTTTTGCGGGTTATATGTGTTTTGTAGCTCTGAGATGCTGATGAGTCCAGGAATTTTACTCACATGATTATTCAGTACTCTTCTTTATCATAACCAATACACCTATCACAACAGGGATAAACGTAGTTTTAAGTTTTCACATTTTTGTTATTTCTGTTGTCTAGCCCCCTCCTTCTGGGGAGGTTTTTTAGTTGACGGAGTCGATTCCATAACGTTGAATCTTCTCTCTCGGCCGTTGATCGCCAGTTATTTTGTTCGGGGATAAATGAAAACTTCAACAAAGGAATTTTAATTTAACTATTAGTTTATTAACCACGTCGACGGGTACACCTTCTAACTAGTCAGTGGGGTAGCTATCTCACCCCAACTGGGGAGCAGTTTCCATACATGGAAATAACACGTCTGCATTCTTCGACGTGTTAGTTCAGACTCCCAGAAATCCCTTTCAATATCTCTAAGATTCCTACGCTAGATTTAACCAAACAAAAACGACTTCCCTTGTTTTGTCTACCATCTGACCATAAAGGTCAGTCTGAGAAGGTCTGAGCTAAAATACACTGCCACTAAAAAATAACAGTCTGAAACTATTATTTAACACTTCAATTTGCAGGTCCTTTCAATTTGACAGTTTTTGAAATTCATTTTTAGAAACATTGTAATCCTGCGATCATGTCATATCAATTAATTCGCAGGTTCCTTTTTCTGAATTTTTCACAGTAATATCACAACATCACTATTTGTGATATCATGCGCAAGACAAATGTTTTCCAACTAATGCCTACAAGGCTAAAATCAACAAAGATGGCTCACATCCCGCCTGCTGCTTATGCCATAAATTTGATGAAACTGTTGACTACATAGTATCAGGATGCCTAGCCTTTGCTGAGAAAAAATACATTATTAGACATGACAGGCTAGGAGAATATATTCATTGGCATATCTGTTCGAACTATAGCATTGAAGTCCCAGATACATGGTACAAACACCACCCAATCACAAATATCTCATAATGTCAGAAAACAAGTGTAACTAATGATATTATTATGCTTCTGAGATTTTTTTCTTTTATAGGAGTAGATAGGTTCGCCTACCGCCCTGTTTACACTCCTTCCACGTCTATTGAACAGAAGTAGAGGTTTATCCTTTGTTTCCTGTTTAGGATTGTGTTTCCGGTTTCTTCTAAAGTTTTCTCAGTTTCTGTCGCTCGTAGTAACCTCTTGCGTCCTAGTGGCATTATCGCCTTGCTTAAGGTGAAATTATGAGAAAGAAAAAAAAACAAACAAACAAATGTTCTGTTATTCTTATTTGAAGCTTTTAAGTTTTAATTATCGTATATCCTTCAATATAATTTGTTGCTTTAACATTTCACGTTTCGGTCGAACTTTGAATTTTGCTCTCAAAACGCATGTGCCTTCCCTACCAAGCAAGTCACATCTGATGCATATGTTTATATGTTCTTGGATTTGTGTTCTCCTGACCGTTGCACTGAACTCGTGACATTACAATGCTTCCGTTGAAAGCGCACCCAGCTATTGGGTGTTATCTCTAGAATCCCTAATTAATTATCTTTTTTTTTTTCATGATTAATAACCACTACATAGTATTAATGTCTATGTTGGGTCTGCTGTTCAAATTTCAGTGTTTTATTCATTGTTTTGCTTTAGTCGAAATAATTTTAGTTTAATTTCTTCCATTCGGGACTTCACTATGGACTTCACCAAATGTATTTTTATTCGGGTGTTCACTATGGACTTCACCAAGTGTATTTTTTTTAGTTAATGCATACCTACACAATCCTGTCACATGCTAGTTTATAATGAAAACATTTCATATCATAACTTTAGAAAACAAGTGTCGATAATGGTTTCAGTTTAAACGATAAAGTAAAGGAAGAGGAAGAAAAGGTCGTTGATCACAAAACCATAAAAAAGTTTCAAGTTTATGCAAATATATAATGGAGAATTTATTCAGGAATTACTGAAAATTAACTAAGATTTTATTTTATCCGGGAAATCTTGGACTACCTTTCTGTCATTATGATTTATTTTCCAAAGAGAAATGCTACTAAAATTGATATTCGTTTATTTCCGCCATGTTTCTTCCAAAGTTGAATCAACGCCTCGACTAAACGGAAGTGAAAAATCGGAGAGACGTTGGTTAATTCAGCTTTCTCTCTCGTCAATAATTTGTAGGATTTTGGAGCTGCTCGCTACCATAAGCTGTTTGAATTTATTAATGTCATCCATAAACTGCAAAATAGAAAAAAATATTTTTAAAAATACCACGAACAATTCTATTTGCATACAGTATAAAGATTTGTGGTTCTTGATATTTTTTTTTTTTTAGTACTGGGTATGACGATAAACTACATCGGGAGATTGGAGATATTGAGTAGCGTGAAGTCACTTCTTAATTGCTATTGTTACTAGGTCCACTCTGACCAAAGGTGGTAGCACCTGTTAGGGTCTCAGATATGAGCAAATAGTGAACCCCAAAACAGAAACAAAACACTAAGAAAATATAAAAATACATTTTTATGTTAAAATTGCCAACAATAAATATTTATATTAAAATTACCAACAATATCTATTTATAGTAAAATTACCAACAATATCTATTTGTAGTAGGGTTACAAACAATACCTATTTATAGTAGAATTACTAGTACATTTTACAGCAAAATGATCAACAGTACATTTTATCCGTAATTGTAAACATACAATTGCGTTCAAAATATATTTAGTTGAAGCCATAAATTGTGTTCAAAATATTTAAATTTCGGCATTAAATAACCCATAGAGGATGATATGCCCCTAAACCAAATCAACCAAGCTTATATATGCACAAAAGCTGAGTATCATCTACCATGTATTCAATTATGAATGCAGAATAACATCATATTTTTGTTACTTCAAATTTCCCAAGAAAATTAAATTTCGGTATTAAATGACACATGAGTTAATATGCCGCTAAACAAACAAATCAACCAGTCTTGATTTTTTTAAAGCATGTTTGTGTGATTTAATTGGTACTATAATTATAATTATAAACCGGGCCGAGGGAGGCAAGTCTGCCCTCGGCTTCCGTAATTGCCAATGTCAATAACGAAAACAAACTGGCTGTTATAACTGGGATCCGCCATACCGCGTACACAAAGGTGAATCCTCACCATTCCTTTCGTATTCCTATAGTTTTGTGATGTCTACGAACACTCGTTGCCACTTTTGTAATGCTCGTTGTAGTAGAGACTTTGTAATCGCACATACAACTCTAGTAACGCCATTGAACAATACTGGCGTCAGACGCCTTCGAATATCACTCGCACTAATAGTACTTGCTCGATAATACTCGCTCGAATAGTGACCACCGAATAGTGATCCGAATAGAGAAATAGTATAGTGAATAGAGTAGAGAAAATCTACCATCCGTCCCTCCATTGAATATTGCTGCCATTTCTGGTCTGGTGTTCCTGATTTTTGTGATGTCAACGAACACTCGTTGACACTTTTGGGATGTCAGCGAATAATCGTTGTCACTTTCGCAAATGCTCATTGTAGTAGAGACTTTGTAATCGCAGATACAACTATAGTAACGCCGCTGAACAATACTGGCGTCAGACGCCTTCGAATATCACTCGCACTAATAGTACTTGCTCGATAATACTCGCTCGAAAAGTAACCACCGAATACTCATCAGTTTAGAGAAATAGTATAGTGAATAGTATAGAGATAGAGGATAGTGTAAAGTGATCCGTATAGTAATAGAGGATAGAATAGAAATGGTGATCAATTAGATGCCACGCTAATTCCCATATATACATTTCCTTTACCATCACGTGGTCTACTTATTGGAAATGGAATCACCTGTGTTTGCTCACTGGTGATTTGTGTTCAAACTCCAGCGTCAGCAACGACACTTTATTCCTATATAACATATAGTAAGAAGTAAATTCCACTTGGACAGCTTCTTCCCAAGAACTGCTGCTTTATGGAACAGACTCCCGGAAGTTTGTTTTCCTAATCACTACACTCTTGACCTGTTTGTGTTTAGGGTTAACTGTTACATTTCCTGCATCTCTCCATGAACTTCACTTCTTGTCCCTCCTTGCGCTCATACAACGCCACACTGTAACTCTTTACCTTGAGTGGCTCTTTGGCCTTGTAATGGAGGAAGATTAGTATAAAAATTGTAATGTAAATCCTTAAAGTAATGTAATATTAGCTGTTTAGGTATTCATTTACTGAACAGTTAGTGCTACTGTTCGTAGAAATTTATAAATCCTTTCTCTTAAAACAATTTTTCAAAGTTTTATATGTTTCTCAAGTTCAGTAGCTGTTGTTGCTCTTTCCAGTATTGATGGGGGTTTCCTTATTTGTCTTTTGCTTGGAGTTGTGTGGAACGTCAGCATCTTGATTATATCATTATTCTCTCTTTGAGTTATGTAAGGTATTAATTTTAGCTGTTGTAGAAGTTGAAAGTCCTCAAGTAAAGCGGTTTCTCTTACTGTTCATGATTCCACGAAGTATTTCTGATTCTAAGTATAAGTGTCCTTTTCGTGTCCTTTTTTTTTTTAAACTTCCTTGTTACTCTCACGCTCCGTCTATGGTATTCTCAGCATCCTTCTTTATAACTACATTTCTGTGTTGCCTCAAGTCTCCTCTTCATCCGTGAACAAATTGCCTAGCATTCACTACCATATAGAAGAATTAATATTATGTAGCAGTCCAGGACTTTTTCTTTGTTTCTATCAAAATGTTTCTGTTTCTTCAACGAACTGGTCAGCAGGAAAAATTTACTGAGCACCACACGACGGTAGGTAGTTAAGTTTAGATTAATATGGCTCAGTGTCAGAATAGCCGAACAACTTATGAAGATGGAACTTAATCTGTCTATATTTCTGAGATGAGGTATTATGTACACTATTTACATTATTCGGACTATTGTCCTCATCTTTGTCGCCATATTTATTACAGCGTTTCGGCCCTTCAGGATCTATTTATATTTCTGAGATGAGTTATTATGTACACTATTTACATTATTCGGACTATTGCTCTCAATTTTGTTTCGGCCGTTGTACGCTCCGGCCTTCTTCATGTGGTTGAAATGTCGAACTGAACCCTTTATTTCGCTCACTGGGGTCGACATGGCACGTGGAACTAGAACAGTGAGCGAAATAAAGGGTTCAGTTCGATATTCCAACCACCTGAAAGCCGGAGCGTACAACGGCTGTAACGTAATAAATATGGCGACAAAGATGAGGACAATAGTCCGAATAATGTAAATAATGGAACTTAATGTACTAAACATTGTGCTACAGTGGATTTAGTTCCAAATAAGAGGGTGGGTGGAAGGCTTATAGGCTGACTATGAAAAGTGATACTCGAGCTATGAAATCTCGCCTGCATTAATTCCAACTCTTCTTATTAATAACTGCATTGTTTCTGTTCAGGTAGACTGACACCTGACTGTTCAAAGAGGATTTGGGCATCGTGATATTATCATGTACCTGCAGAAAAACGGTTTAGCTCTTATATTCATGATGACATGGTTGTTACATTAGGGGATGACGGTCTAGCTTTATCAACAGTACAAAAGTGGGCAGACGAATTTTGAAGAGGAAGAGCGAGTCTTGAAGATGACTCAAGGTCTAAACGTCCTGCCACCATCGAAGAAAACATTGATTGTGTTCACCACATGGTGATGAATGACAGGCGATTGACTATAAATCAAATAGCCAGTCTATTAGCATATTCCGTGAGAAAGTCGAGAATATTCTGCACAATGAACTTGCCATGACGAAGGTTTCTGATTGGTGAGTATCACGTCTTCTGACACATGATAAAAAGAACGCCAGATCACATCAAAGTCTGACATTGTCTTGGGTAGATCCAGCTGGTTTTCTTGGACGTTTCTTAACCCAGTATAAGTGTTGGGTTCATCACTTTCAGCCAGCGACAAAGAGACAATCCATACCGTGGAAACACTGTACCTCACCTGCTTCAAAGAAGGCCAAGGTTGTTTCATCTGCGGGAAGGTGATAGCCTCAGTTTTTGGAATGCAAAAGGCGGTGTTTATTGACTATCTTCAAAAGGGCCACACGAACAATGGAGAGTACTATGTTAATTTGCTGAGGCAGTTACGAAAGGCTATCAAGAATAAAAGCCCAGAAAATCTGATGAAAGGACATTTGTTTTATCAGGACAACGCTCCATCACACAAGTCCTTGATTTCAGTTGAACTGATTGACCACTCCCCTTATTCTCTTGATTTGATTACCATCTGTTCCCCAACATGAAAAACACTTCACTGGAAACTAGTACCGCAGTGATGATGATGTCATATCTTCTGTAGATGATTTTTGTACCAACAGGATGAACAGTTTTCTTTGAAAAGCCAGATGTCTGTTTAACTGGAAATAAACACTGCAGTTTTTATTAAAAAAGATTTGAAAATAATGCAATGCAAGATTTCACTGCTCTAGCATCACTCCTTCATAGTCAGCCTATGAAGTTTTTGGCTCATCCTCGTATAAAATTATGCATGCAAGCTGTGTATTAAACTTGTAATTACTTACATTTGACTTGAGTGGTTCATCCTTGACACTGTTCAGATTAATCATGACGTTATAATAAGCACCCCAAGTGGCTGCTTCCAAAAGACGAACTCCAGTCTGACAATAAATAAATCAATAAGATTGTGGCACATAAAAAGGTTAGGATGGTTAATTTAGCAATATATCAAACTTGTTGAGCTACCTTATATAGGATATAAATCTTACAGGACAAAATCACAATGAGTTAATAGAAAGGACGACATAGTTGACACTAGAATCACAAAGGTCGACATAGGTCCTATTTACACGGGAGTCATAAAGTTAGACGTGAGTCCGGTTTACAGTAAAATAAAAATGTGGACACAAGAGTCATATAGGTATATATATGACCGGTTTACATTAGAATAAAAAAAATGTCGACATAAGTCCAGTTGACACGAGAATCAAAATGATAGGCATGTTATTTAACCCACCCCCACGAGGGTTACATGTGGCACAAGGCCGGGTGTAACGTGGGATTTCCGAGCCCGTAGGCTCGGCCAAAAATATTCCCTCTTTGAACCCGCATAAACGGGTTCAGGGGCAGTCAACCACCCCGAACGAGACTCTGCCCTTCGGCGGAGCCTCGTCCGGGTTCCTCTCCATCCGAAAACAGTGAGTTAGACTGTTACTTACCCCGGAGGCAAGTGATAAGGCATGGATTCAGCTTATACTTAACAATCGCTTGCAAGGCACTTCATATACATGATCTAACCGAAATGTATCTAGTCATTTAATATCTAAAGAACAGGTTGATGAAACTTTGCAGCTAATCAAAGAAACCTTACTGTAACATAAATGGACATAGATTCGATTTACGCAAAGATCAAAAAGGTAGGCATAGTTTTTACACGAGAGTCATCAGGTAGACATAATTCCGGTATTTACTAGAAAAAAAAAGGTCAAATTATCCGATTTACACGAGAGTCAAGAGGTAAGCATAGGTTCGGTTTATACCTAACAATGGCTTGCAAGGCGCCTCATACATGTGATCTGACCGAAACTCAGTTTGAATATCTAAAGAACACGTTGATGAAACTTTGCATTCAATCAGAGGGGCCTTAATGCGACATCTCAAGACAAGTCCGGTTTATATTATAATCATGAAAGTAGACACTGGTTCACTTTTTACACTAGATACATAAAGGTAAATATAAATCAGACTTACACTAAAATAAAAAAAGGTCTACGTAAGTCCGATTTACACAAGTAAAATTACAAAGGTAAGTATAGGTTCAGCGTATACAACAATCAAAAAGGTCGATACAGTTCCGGTTTGCACTAGAATCATAAATATAGACATGGATCTAGTTTTTACATTAGAATAATAAAGGTAGATATGGGTCCTACCTATTAGACTAGAGCCACAAAGGTAGACATAAGTCCTGACTACACTATAAGGGTAGGTATGGGTCCAGTTTTTACAGTAGTCATAAAGTTGGTCAAAGATCTTGTTTACACTAGAATCACAAAAGTCGACATGTCCGGTTTATTCAAGTCAAAAAGGTAGGTATGGATCCTGTTTACACTAGAATCATAAAGGTAGGCATGGCTCCAGTTTTTACACGAGAATCATAAAGGTAGACATTGCTCCAGTTTTTACATGAGAATCATAAAGGTAGACATGGCTCCGATTTACACTAGAATCATAAAGGTAGACATTGTTCCAGTTTTACAATAGAATCATAAAGGTAGACATGGCTCCAGTTTTTACACTAGAATCATAAAGGTAGACTTCGGTCCAGTTTTTACACTAGAGTTATAAAAATGGGCTTAGACCCAGTATACATTAGAATCACAAAAATCGACATATGTCCGGTTTACACGAGCCAAAAAGATAGGATACGGGACAATTTACCACCGACACAACACCGCCGATTGAGTGCCGGGAAAACTCTATATTTTTATATGCTCATGTAGTGGCATCTTGTGCGCCTGGGGAAAGCGGTAAAGTGTGGTACCCGTTCCACGTGTGTATAACTGTTTTCCTTGTCTGAGCCGGAATGATGGAGACCTGATTAAATGGGAACGGGGTGTGATGGGTTTCCCTCGTGGGGGCAGCGTTCAGTTATTGTAAGTCCACTGTCACTGGTTCAATTATACTCAATGCGACGTCTCGATCGAGGTCTTGTTTCACTCTCTTTTTCCAATGGTAAAGGACAGGGATCAGTATGTGGACCGCTAATGTCGTCACATCAAAGACGAAGGTAATGTTCAATGGCTTTCCTGTCGTAGTCTGTAAGGGTTGGTAAATTTACACATCCCTTTATACCGAGTCCAAGCGTCAAAGAATAATGCTCAGTTATTGTCCGTTGCGTTAGGTTCAATGACAGAACGGTCTGGGTTTTTAGCGTTGGACATTTGCGTCACGTTAGGGGTTCCGTCCCTCCGAAGCGTGATATTTTCCCTTTGTAGTGCTATCATTTGTTGCATGAGTTGAGCAATCAAATCAAGGGTTCCACCTGGTGCAGATGCCATGTCTTATTTTGTTAAGATAATTCCACGTATTCACCAGATCCTGTTCGCAGTGTCATGTAAAATAACCACAAGAGCAATGGTAGAAGTGCACTATTTACATTATTCGGACTATTGTCCTCAAGGACACATGGTACAGTGGATAAAGGCCCCCAATTGGCCCCCGGCTACTCAGCTGTTTATATAACACTGGACGAGGTAATTTAATGTCAGCTGTCAGTAATTTATGTCCCCCATTATCTAATGAGACTTTCCATTTCTACTCCACAGCATTTAAAAAAAACATAAAAAAATGTTTGTAAATAATGTCGTAGAATATTAAATCAGCTCATCAGAACTAAGATTATTTTGTTTTTCAGCCCAAATTATTGAAATAAAACCTAATATTTTTTACCTGAATGTCAGATTTACAGTTGATATTTCCGTACTTGGCCATTTCTTCAAGTGTCGACCACAATTCAGATATAAGCTGGGCGACTGTCAACGGGACTTTCACAGCATTAATCATGGCATTTTTCTTCGCTATTTCTTTCCTAAAAATAAAATGGGAAAATTAAAAAAAATACATTTATGGTTGTTGGTGGAAAACTTGAAATCACCTTTAATTTGGATATTTGTTCAAATACACAGGAAAAAAAATGCATGTGCAGGTAGTGCAACGATTATCAGCGCGAAAGTTGAATCGGCGTGCCGAGTTCAAATTTGGACTGTTTTGTTGACTTCACACTAATGTTGTTGGTAAAAAAAAGAATCTATCTTCTTCCATCTATGGGTTAAATAGCAAGACAGAGACGGGGCTCTCTAGCCTTGGGTGTCAGCCAGTCTAAGAGAAAGAAAACTGCGAATTCGATCCTCCTCAGAATAATAAACTGCACTCATTAGTCTCGACCACTGAAGCTCTCGGAGAGACGCACTTGGTTCTAGATCTACGCACTACTGGGTGTGTCAAGGGTTTATGATCATTAATAGACAAATTTATTCTGACAATTAAAAATTTAGAAAAAGAATAACGCACTGTCCCATTTCAACAAGTCAAATAAAGAATCCTAACATGTTTTTTTTTGTATTTTTTTTTTTTAGTTCCGAGTCCCTTTGGGACGTAGACGATCATGGATCTCCACAGTTTTTTTTTCTTTATTATCTGTGGATTGCTATTGCCTGCTTGGGAAATCTGTCCTGTAAATATAAAATTTTCCAAGCCCACTTTCCTTATTATGTGTCCTAGAAATTTCAACAGTCTCTTCTTGATTTTAAGTATAAGTTTCCTTTTTGTTTCCATTTTCGCTAAATTGTTGTTTTTGCTCATATATTTGGTCGATGGTATTCTCAGGATACTTCTGTAGAACCACATTTCTATGTATTCAAATCTTTTCTTTATCTGTGAGGACAGTGTCCATCATTCACTGCCATATAGAAGGAGTGTTTAACCTAACAGATCAGTCGTCTTTGTTTCTTACGAATTTTTTTTCTGTTTCTTAATAATTTGCTTAGCGTTTGGAAGTTATCTTACGATATCCCGATGCGCCTTAGGCACATAGAAGAAGAAGAAGGATGAGGAGGAGCAGGAGGCATAGAAGAAGAGGAAGAAGAAGAAGAAGAAGACGAGGTAGACGAAGAAGAAGACGAGGGAAGAGGAAGCATAGAAGAAGAAGAAGAAGAAGAAGAAGAAGAAGAAGAAGAAGAAGGATGACGAGGCTTAGATGAAGTATGAGGAGACGAAGAACAAGAAGATGAATAAGGAGGCATAGAAGAAGAAGAAGAAGAAGAAGAAGAAGAAGAAGAAGAAGAAGAAGAAAGAGGAGTAGGAGGAGGAGGAGGTACAGAAGATGAAGTCACCTTTCGCTATTTCAATACGCCCCCTGATTTCTGTGTCACATTTTCTACCGTCTGTTAAAACATTTCACAAAGAGTTAAATTTCTGTACTCGCTTTATTTTGACGTCTCAAATTCGTAGCTCGAAGCTTTTTAACGACGAATACAAACTACTGAAATTTGATGGTTGGTCCTTTTTGTCTATAAGTTCGAGTAGATGTTTTCTTCTGTATCTTTCTTAAGTTAACCCTGCACTTGACCTCCTTAATAGTCTGGCGTGAATTTGGGTGCCAAGCCTATTCCGGTATCATACCATGCAAATGATAACATTTACATTTTCCTAATTTTTCTAGCCCCAACAATTCCGCGGCGAAAAAAATTCAAATCCTATCCTCATCCCACTGTTGCCATAGTTACACTACATCCTTACCTATTACTTGGCACACGTCATCACTTCTTCTGTACACTGGTGGGGGGATTTTTTGGGGCATTTCATTTTTTATCGCATACATGGTGCGGCAGTGATACCTACTATATAATAAAACATTAGCTAGATGAAGGCACCATTGTCAATAATGTCTTACCGCTATGTGGAAGGTGTTTCTGGGAGGTATTTTTGCCACAACCTGTATTAGCGAATATAATTTTCTTTCATTTGAGTAAAGTTATTCAATACAAAACTATCCTTTTTTCCCTTTTTTCAGTTTGTTTTTTTCTTGATATTACTTAGTACATGTGCGTCATATAGGAAGAAAGTGTCACTGCTGATACTTAGGTTTGAACATGGATCACCAAAGAGCAAGCAAAGTCGACCTCATCTTGAAATAACTAGATCACGTGACGGTTAAAGGAAAATATATATATATGGGAATTAGCGGCGTCTGACCGAGAATTTTTAGATGGCGTTACTATTATTGTATCTGTGATTTACAAAGTCTCTCCTACAAACGGGTATTACGAAAATGTGAATGTTATCCTTTGCGTGGTATGATACCAGAATGGGCTTGGCACCCAAATTCACGCCAGACTATTAAGGAGGTCAAGTGCAGGTTTAATTTGAGATGATTCCCAGCCGATTCATCCATTGTCAATAGTAATCACGAGAGGCGAACACATGTGGGCAAGTATGCACCGGATATAAGCGCGTGTGGGAAAAACCGTTGGACAAATTGATACATAAACAACTGTTCCGGACGAGGAGTTTGGGTAATCTCTGGGACATCATATACGAGAATGTAATGTGTGGGATTCCTTGCACCACACACTGGCTGAGAGCCGAATAAAATGTAAAGTTAAATATGAAAGATTCAAGTCTCGTGTTATCATTGGTCTGTGAATGTGGTCACTGGGCTGTCACGCCTATTTCATTCGACTTGTAACCTGTTGGTTCAATCCAAGAAATCTCTATCCATCGACCATACACAATAAAATTATTTGATATTTTTTAATCTGTTCACCCCAAACAAGACGTTAATGCCACTAAGACGCAAGGGGCTACTGGGAGTGAAAGAGAACGAAAAAAAAAAACTTCAGAAGGAGCCGGAAATCTAATCCTTAACAGGAAAAAAAGGAAACAAAAAGCAAAAAAACAAAAAAACAACTCAAACATTTCAAAAGTTCGTTCAAGACATCAGATTGGAAGTTTTGAGATCTTCCAGAATGTTCTTTGTTTTCGAACTTGAAATCACCATTCTCAGATCATGCTTGCACCTACTGTATTAATGTCATAACATTCAAATTTATGTAAAAATTACTTAAATATGGCTGTCATTTTTTACAGTAATGCTTGCGATAATTTTTTTTGATAAATACAGTAGTACAGTGTAACCCGGATATAAGAGAGTTGTCGGGACCAGAGAAGAAGTCTCTTATATCCGGGTTTCTCTTATATCCGGGTTTGGTCTATTTTATATACATTAACACAGGCTCTAATTAGGGACCAGAGACAATCTCTCTTATATCCGGGTTTCTCTTATATCCGGGTCTCTTATATACGGGTTGCACTGTAAATATTTTTTAATCATTTTACCCCAAATAAGGCGTAAATGCCACTAAGACGCAAAAAAGGGAAGGAGAATGTGAAGACTTAGAAGAAACTGGAAACCCAATCCTAAACCGGAAACGAGATAAACCTCTAGTAGTGTTCAAAGGATATGGGAGGAGTGTGATCCGGTTGATAGGCGAACCTACCCACTCCTATTAAATTCGTTATCGCTTTTCTACGATTAAGCATGATCTAAGATCAAGCAACTTCGCCGACAACGTTTAGTTAAAATGTAACAAACCGGCCAAAGGTTACCTCTGTATCATTCCAATTGATTGATAGTGTGGCAATAAAACATTCGAGTCTAATGAGCCATTTCATGTACGCATCATCACTGGTTTTTAAATCTGAATATTGAACCATGTTGAAAATCCAAATAGCAATAATAATAAATGTATTTACTTACTGTGCTTTTTCTTCTTCTGTCGCATTTGTCATCTTGAGTGCCGCCTGAACAAAAACAAGTATTTGATCTTTTTTTTTATTTTCTGACAATAGACAGATAAATGCTTGCATGCTCGGTTGGGGAACATGGGTTCACAAGAGTTGGGCTGGGTTAGTTGATTTTACGATCTATCAACCCATGTTAGGACATCTAATGTCGAAATCGGTCTTTTTTTATTTTATTATATTTGATTCTATAAACATTTATTTCGGGAATAAGTAAATATAGGTCATTTCTATTTAAGCCTCTCGGCATTTATTTGGTTCAGGGATAGGTAAATATTTATCGTTTATATTTTAATCTCTTACGCATTTTTTAAAATTATTTTACAGTAAACAAGGCAATAAAGTCACTAAGACACAAAATGTTACTGAGTGTGAAAGAGAAAGAGAAAAAATATTATTAAGGATAGAGAACAATAAGAGAATTAATAAGACAGAGGACAACGATTGAGATTGCTTTTAAATGTTTAAGAATCAGTGTTGACTGGAAAGTACGAGGCTGGATGAGAGTTCCACAAGCGATAAGTGCGATAGAAGAAACTGTTAGCATAGAACTTACGGTTACATCTAACCATTTCAGCTGTAAAATAATGAAACCTAGCTACCAATTTACTTGGATAAGTAAATATGGATCTTTTATTTGTATCTGTGTACATTGAATTGGTTCGGATGTAGATAAATATTGGTTGTTTATATTTGAGTCTTTAAGCATTTTTGTAGATAGGACCTAAGTAAATATTGGTGAATTAATAACTGATAAACAATCTTCAAGCATTTACTTGGTTGTTTATATGGAGTCTATAAACATTTACTCGGTTGTTGACTTCTGCAAGGGATACAGTCGACGATGTCTAGGCCTAGCCGACAAGGTAGAGAGGGAAGGTCGTTAGATACTCTCGCAGATTATTACTACTGTAGCGAGTGGGATTCTCACTGAGTGTCGGACACGTGTATTTTTTTTATAAATTCACCCCAAGCAGGGCGATAATGCCACTAAGACGCTAGGGGGCAACTGGGCGTGAAAGAGAATGAGAAGACTTTAGAAGGAACTATAAACCCAATCCTAAACAGGAAACAAGGGATAAACCTTTACCCCTGTTCGAAAGATCGAGGAGGAGTGGGAATCAGACGATAAGTGAACCAATCTTTGACTTTATAACATACTAAACTAGCGTATTTTCTTGTATGTAATACGACTTAAGTATAATGCGACCCCATCTTACAGACATCTGTCCTGGGTATGACGATAAACTACATCCGGTAAGAAGGCTTCTGATGGGGAAGTTTTAAGGAGCATGGAACCACCTCTTCATTGCTGTTGTTGCCACTTCCACCCTGATCCGGGGTGGCAGCACCTTTTAGGGTTCTAGCTATGGGTAAATAGTTAACCTCCAAACTGGAGTTAAAATACGATGAAAATATAAACATTTTTATAGTAAAAATACCAGCAATACATTTTCATAGTAAAAATACCAGCAATACATTTTCATAGTAAAATGCCAGCAATACATTTTCATAGTAAAAATACCAGCAATACATTTTCATAGTAAAATGCCAGCAATACATTTTCATAGTAAAAATACCAGCAATACATTTTCATAGTAAAATGCCAGCAATACATTTTCATAATAAAAATACCAGCATTACATTTTCATAGTAAAATGCCAGCAATACATTTTCATAGTGAAAATACCAGCAATACATTTTCATAGTAAAAATACCAGCAATACATTTTCATAGTAAAATACCAGCAGTACATTTTCATAGTAAAAATACCAGCAATACATTTTCATAGTAAAAATAATACCAGTAATACGTTTTTGTAAAAACAAATAAAATAAAGATTATCAGCAATACATTTTTGTAAAAGAAATTAATGCTCGCAAGAAAATTAAATTTCGGCATTAAATGGCAAATAAGGAGTTGATATGCCGCTAAACAATCTTACAGTCATCCCTATGTACATATATGTAAAAACGTTCAATCACACCGATTTCCAAAGAATAAGAATTGCCGATATTTCAAATACCTTTTGTGAACAATTGTATCAATACCTGCTTTTGTGCTAACCGAGTGTATTTACAAGCTCCCGGTTTCTAATAAAACGTTTTCTTAAAATGAGTAAAAATGTCTGAAAACGTCTACTTTTGTATAATGTGACTCCACTTTTTTATTTTAATTTTCGTTCAAAATTTGCCTTGACATTGATTTACTGAAGCTGAGAAAAATATTTAGTTGTATTTTTTTTTACTTAACGAAAAAAACCTCTAAAATGACTTCCGGCCATATCATGTTGAAACACCGGTTCCCATACGATCACCGAAGTGAAGCAACGTCGAGCCTGGTCAGTATCTAGTTGGGTGACCACTTAGGAATACCAGGTGCTGTAAGCTTGAATGTGCAGGTGGTGAAATGGATAATGACTTGAAACCGGAAATCGGAGAGCCGAGTTCCAATTCCAGTTGGGTTCTTTGTATTCGCATATGCACAGATACTCTTGAGATAGGTATGAATCCCTCTCTTCTCTCCAGCTATGGGTTAAGTAGTCGGACCTGTATTAGTAAATCATTATTATCCCCAAACATTCTTACAATCTAAAATATTTTCTGGCTTTAAATAAACTGCAAAAGGTTTATAGGACATGCTGCATTTATTGAATGTGGAATGTGTTGGCACAAATCGAATTATCAATCAGGTTTTGGCCAATTACCTAATCCAAAATACTCCACGATTGTGTCAACGTTATTGCTTGACATGATTAGCTATTTCTAATCCAAAGCCAGACATGCTGCTTGATCTTGCATTCCAATCTTTGCAATGTGCGTGCAATGTAACCAAATTTTTCAAACTAACACATCAAAATAAATTCCTTCATATTGAATATTTTACTAACATTGTTTCATAATATCGACATTTTCCATTTCACAGTAATACATTTAATGCACCTATGTGTTATCAGAAATTGTGAAATCAATAATTATATCTAGAAGAAACAGACATACTAAAATTAGATGTCAAATAAAACAGTGGGCCAACTTAGATTATATCGACGACACAAGGATCTATTTGAACTGCTAGGTAAGCTTGATTTGTTTGAGAAAGATATTAGAATAATCCAGAACTCATGCTGGGAGCATACAGGCAGAAAATGAAGTTAGTAATTACGTAAAAATAGAAAAGGGAGTAAGAAAAAATTATTTTTCACCGGACTTATTCAACCTTTACAGTTTACAGTGAGGCGATCCAAAGAGAATTAAAGAAAAATGTTTGTATGGTGTTACATTTATTATCATTGAGTAATTTACATAGAGATTTTCATGGAAGATTTCTATATGTTGCCTCAATTTAACTTTGGATTCTTTTATTTTTTCTTAAAAAAAATGTGTTCTTACCATGTAGGTTTCAAAAGCTTTACTATCAGCATCAATGAATTTTTTCAATTCCAGCATCTTCTCATGCAACGGCGGTATCAGCTTTCTCATCTTGTCATCTAACTCCGCAAACTGACGTTTTCCATATGTAAGTTGCCCGACCATGGCGCCCAGTGCAGCTCCCTGTAAATAAATAAATAGATAAATAAAAGCGTGGAATCAAATAATTTGTGGTCATTAATGCCACAGAATTATCAAACATTAAAACGGAAGAAGAGTATATATAGCTGGATAGATGTTATTAGTAGTTTGGAAATCGACTTCCTACTACGTCTGTATCTCTTTAGAAAGAGCACTATTCGTGACCACCTAGATCTAACACTTTCGCCCCAGCCCCTCAACCTCCGACGTCTTACTCTCCGGGTTGATGTTCTAACCGAACTTAAGTGAGTGGCCATAGGTCCCCTGAGCATCCGTAGATTATTCGACCGGTCCACTGGTTTAATCTTGCTTCCTGCCCACGTTGTGTTTGGTTTGATCCAGAAAGCAGAAGTGATGATCATCCATTCACGGTCAACTGAAGATTTAGACACGGCTGGAGAGTCTGCGCTAAGAAATTTAGAATGCAGCAAAAAAATAATAATAATAATAATAATATCTGCAGAAAGCCGGAAAACAACTATTCAATGATTGAATTGTTAATGTCTTTTATATAGCAGAAAAGAATAGTATAGAAAAGAAACGGTTTACAAAAAAGAAAAGTAATTGACGTAAAAATGCATACACCGGATTGTGGAGATAGAGAGAGATAGATAGATAGATAGATAGAGAGAGAGAGAGAGAGAGAGAGAGAGAGAGAGAGAGAGAGAGTCATGATTAACTTGTTGTTAAATCGTCTCAGAACGATATATGACTCTTGCGATAGGGGAATAAAATTTCTGTGCGCGGCTTAAAGTTTATAGTGGCGTTCCTCATTATCACTAGTAACAGTAGTAGTAATATTCGTGGTAGCAGAAGCAGCGATACTTATATCAGCAGTACATGTTAGCGGACTCTTCGTTACAATCTCTGACGTCACGTTCTTGAGTCTCTAACTCGACTCTCCACTGTCTCTAGCCCGGGGTAATTCTCTTCTGTCTCTCTCTTCCGTTTGCCTCTTCCGTCTCTCTCTCTTCCGTCTCTCTTTCTTCAGTGTCTCTCTTCCGTCCGTACGCTCGCCCGTCTGTTTCTTCTTGAGCATAACTACACGTTTATATAGAAAAATCCGGCAGGTTATAACTGAACTTTGGCCCTACTGTTTCGCACGTGATTATCACGGGGTTTTGACTGTTTCAACCAAAATCATGTGAATTCAAAAGTTCCTTCTAGCTTACTCAGCTCTATTTCAATTTTTAATCGATAAAAATTATTTCGACCATTACCATTGTTCTGATGACCCAGATTCAATGGGTACAACTTCTGCCCTAGATCAAGTTTCCACATCAGTAAACAAAATGCTCTGATTTAATTTCGCTATCCAAATCTTCTACAATTTCACTAAAAAGAATATACGTGTGTGTCTTTCCCAGACTCTCTCTGTCACATAGAGCAGTTGTTCCCAAACGGCACGGCGCGCCTCATAGGTGCAGCGGAAGAGGATAGCAGGTAAGGTGGAATGATTGAAAGACAATCAAAGATTTAGAAACAGTTATTAAAAATTCATATGCCAAATATAAATATGATTTCAAAATTTGAAATATTATTATGGGTTACTTGTAATTGCATGCATGAGTCCCAATATAAATGAGTATAAATAATTATTGACCGCTTTTATCATTGTGATATTTTGCATTATATCATGTATTAAGAATATAGTAACTAGAGTCCGCAAACTGGAGGAGAGAGCTATCAATGATAATGTTCTGACTTTGAATCTGCAGTTATCTCCCTTTAATCCCCTTTCTATTTTATTTTTTAACTGTGCTTTTTATCACATAAAATTTGACGCAAGAAAATTTTAATTCTGAAAATGCTGGCCAGAAAAAAGTTTGGTAACCATTGGCCTATAGTGACGTTGTTGAATGGTTATCTCTATATAAAATGTTTACAATAAAGAAAGGAAAGTATAGTAATAAGCAATGAAGATTAAATTTGGTCACATTTAGACAACGTTCAATGAAGGGTCAAAGTTATAATATTATCACTAAGTTGAAGTGTAAACACTTCGGAAGACGAACACAATTTGTAGTGAAAGATAGAGTACGGTAGGGGGCGGTAACCTTTTCGAGAGAGCGGGTCAGATAGTGTCTCAGAGGAGGGTCATGATATCGAATGTTACTATATTTAATTTAATTTAATAAACTGTCTCGACTTCAGACCTTTCAATCCAGAAGGCTTTTTTAGTCTGGAGGTTTAAAAAAGCAACAAAGTTAATGTTATACTATTTAAACAAAGTTCTTTATTTTACTGCAGGAATAACAGGATAACAACTAACACAATAAACAAAAAATGCAAATTCTTTACAACAAACGAAATACAGTTAGAAATATTAGGTTGGTGCAAAAATAATGACGTAATAATGTCGTTTTTTGTCGTTAAAAAATACGTCAAAAAACGACATTATTACGTCATTATTTTTGCACCTACCTAATAGTAAATTATTTGATGAGACACTTGTTTCTGCTTATTGTTTGATAACTACTCCCCATCTAACCTTCTAAAGAACCACATTTCTATGATACCTGCAAAATCTCATATTTGCGAGATTATAACATTCTTAAATGTTTGCCTTATGAGCTGCCATTATTTCCTTATTTGTTTTTTCCTTCAGTTCTCCAACCACACTTAATAATTAAGATTCATCAGGAAATTAAAATAGGAAAGCGTGAAATTTTCACAGGTATTTTTAGTGCACTATAATAACGAATCTATTCAGATGGTAGCGGAGCAAGAAGTAACTATATAACCCCTGGCAAATATTATGAAATTAACATATTTAGACGATGTTCACTTAATAACAGGTAAGGCGTAATTTTTTTCTTTTTTTAATAGCTGGATATTATGGTTTTCGTAAAAATATACCCGACGCAAACTCGATTAAATTATTTAAATTAATGTTATATTTAATGTTATGGTTTTTACAAGCCATGTAAAGTTTTTGCCAGGGATTGTATAAAAAGAAACAAAGACTTACCAATGAAGCACAGAGAGCAGCCACAGATCCTCCTCCAGGTGCAGGAGATCGGCTCCCAACATTGTCTATAAATGAATTTACTGTCATATCAAGAAGAGGTGTGTTGCTATCACTAAGCATGTACCTGGAAAGTGAGAATTACAATAAAGCAATGAAAGACGTTTACAGACTGAATAATACAAAAGAAAGAATAAAAAAAAACAAGACTTAATTTCAGGTGAGGTTAGTTGTGTTAATTTAATAAGAATGCTCCCCAAAAAACATGTGATTTCCCTGCGTTCTGTTTCATCACCAAATAATTTGCTTCTGATTGTCACGATCGTTGATGGAGAACAGAGATTCTCAACCGCCGGACCGTGGCTACGCGATCCTCTTAGGTGTGCCGCGAAATATTGTCACAGTATATATATATATATATATATATATATATATTATGCAGTGTAACATTAGAATATACACATACCCACTACAAAACTGTACAACTTGTTTCAACGTTAAAAATTTTTTAACGTTTCATCAGGTGGGAAATCATCGTAGCATCATGATTTCCCACCCAATGAAACGTTAAAAACAATTTAACGTTGAAACAAGATGTACAGTTTTGTAGTGAGTGTGCGCATGTTCTAATGTTACACTGCATAATAAATAAATATTTATTGCTCTACTTGTTTAAGACCTGTTTTAAATTAATGTTTTGAACGCTGAAACCTTACTCTTTGTTCTTTTACATTTGCATATATATATATATATATATATATATATGTGTGTGTGTGTGTGTGTGTGTGTGTGTGTGTGTGTGTGTGTGTGTGTGTGAGTAGTAATGGTACAGCGTTAGTATTTGAATAAATAAATAAATAAATAAATGAATATAACACCAATCAGTTAAATGACAAATTTTATTAATCATATATATATATATATATATATATATATATATATATATATATATATATATATATATAGGGTCTATCCAAAATTTTTTACACACTTTGGAGGTGGATTCTTCACACCAAAACAAGGACACAAGTCCACATAAACATATGTCCACAAATCCTTCGTTTTTGAGTTATTAAGTTTAAAGAAAGTTTACGGTAGATGGCGCTGTGTTGCCATGTAGACTAGGTTACATTCGTCATTCGTGTACATTTGTGGCTAGTAAATTTTTTACATGTGTACTAGTGAGTTAACTAAGAAGCGTTCCATTTAACAATGGCAGGATATTCATATCGTGAACAAGCAGATATGATTTTTATATACGGCCACGAGAATGGTCGCATATATGATTTTTTATATATGGCCTCGCGAATGGTTGCGAGGCTGCGCGGCTGTGTCTGACTGCATTTCCAGACTGAAGACAGCCCAGTCCAGTGGCGTAGCTAGAGTAAACGTCACCCGGGGCGTTCCGCTCAAATGTCACCCCAATGACCCCGATTCACCCTATGCTGAATGGTTAGCTGTAGCTGAATTTTCATACATGCTCTACCTCTACTTTACTCTACTGACCGGTACGTTACTGTTTACATGTATGATCCAAGACAAAATCCAATACCACAAAATAATCAGTTCAAATCAAAAGATTTTTAAAATGCAACTGTTCACTTTCAGAACAACTAAATACAAAACACGGCAATACACAAAAGAATGACATTCGATACTATGGTCTTAGAATGAATGTTTTCTTGTTTTCATTGTGGCAAACTGGTCAATGACATCGTCAAAATCTGTTTGTCTTGTAAGCTCGTTTTCAATGGACAGCCCAGCCAGATCTGACAGTCTCGACTGGCTCATGGTTGACGTAATTTTCTGTTGCTAATTTTCCGGTGTCCAATTTTCCGTTGCATCATTTTCTGGGTACCATTTAATTATCAATGATGTTTGAAAGTATTTTTCTTGACAAAAATGTTCTATCTAATTTTTAAGCATTTTTCGGAACATTGTAGATCAACTGCATTCTTTTAAAGGTTACCAAGAGAATTTATGCAAAGTTTATTTTTTTGTTTTTCTTTATACAAGTAAAATAAATTTACATCGTATTTTGATGTTATTATGATTTTAGTTTTAGTGATAATTTAAAAACAATAAATATTTATCATTAGTACCAATAATGGAAAATTAATTTAAAAATTTTAAAGAATCGTTTTTGGAATCGGAAAATAGGCTCAAATTTTTCCGATTCCGATACCGTTTCCGATACCACCAAAAGTTCCGATTTTTCCGATTCTCGAATCCGATTCCGAATAATCGTCCCAACACTAGTAGATATATTCAAAAGTATATCGCTCTTTCAATGGAAAATTGTATCTCAGCGAATTGATACACAGGCAAGATTGAAATTGTTGCACTTTTTGGCTTCGTATTTCGCTTTGTTGTTATTAATGATGCATAGTTAAAACACCATATCATCCGATAAAAAGTTACAACAATGTCTCTTGTTAGTAATCAAGATTGTAGCAACTGAAACACATGAAAGCTGAAAACATTGCTATTTTTCCTACTCACAAATTTCCCGACAATTTATTAGAAAATTTCTGACGGCGGGGGGACAAAACTGGAGGCTCATAAATTATTTCTGGGGGGTCATATGCCCGCCTGCGAAACCCTGTGTCTCCACCACTGTTTTCAGACTATTTTTGGTACCTTGGCCTGGTTGAAAAAATTTGTTGGGGGTGACATTGTATCACCCCTCCTGTGCTGGCAGCCTGGGCGGTTCGCCCCCCCCCCTTAGCTACGCCACTGGCCCAGTCATCCAACATTTGCTGCTGTTTATCGTCGCGTTGCTGAGACAGGATCCGTGGCACCACAAACTATGGATCGAGGAAGATCGAGATCCACTCGTACGCCTGACTAAGAAGAACACATTCTGCAGGCTGTCGGAGACGATCCAGGTATCAGTACACGTCAAGTGGCCCTAGTATGTGGTACATCTCATAGTACCGCATGGCGGGTACTTCAAGAGCAGCTGCTGATTCCGTATCATTTGCAACGTTTGCAGTTTGTTTCGCCCTCTGATCACTGACCACGTAAGAACTTTTGCTGATAGGATATTGCACAAACTTCCGATCCATTGTTTGTCTCTTCAGTCTTGTTTATGGATGAGGCAACATTTGGAAGAAATGGAATTTGCGCAACCAACATTTATGGACGGAACAGAATCTCCATGGTACAATACATACTAGACTTTATCATCAGTTTACGATTAATGTGTGGGCTGGCATTGTAAGTGACTGTGGGGTAGGTCCATATGTTCACCCAGCACATCTGATAGGAACTGTCTACAGGGCTTTCATTTCGAACACACTTCCAGACCTGCTAAAGGATGGCCTTCTGCTAATACGAAGACACATGTTGTTCATGCATGATGAGCCTCCAGCAGATTTTAGTCACATTTTTCGCGATGCACTGGCTGACATCTACCATGAAAGGTGCATAGGTAGGGGAGGACTGGTTCCATGGCCTGCGTGTTCCACCAACCTCAATGCTTTGGATTTTTATCCTGAATCCTTTTCTTTTATTACTGTTGAACTAGCTAGCTGCAACTGTTAGTTCTATTTTAATAGTTTCTTTTCTCGCACTTCTCACCTGTTTAAATCACTTCCGATTCCTTGCTTTCATGTCACCTACAATCTTCAAAAATTAAATGTAGCGTCAATCGCCGTCGTCTGTCTTCCTGAACCCTATTATTTCTATTGTCTAACCTTTTCTCCTCATTAAGTCTTCTCATTCCTCTTTCACTCTCAGCAACCCTGGCGTCTTAGTGGCATTATCGCCTTGCTTGGAGTGACATGATTAAAAAATTCCACATCCCGTCAAGTATACTGTATACTCAAGCATTTTTTGTTTTATGCTGTGACATTAAATTTCGATACTTACTCAATGATCCTCTTTTGGGGGTTAAACACGTCTATGGAATTCAGTCCTAATCGATCGATTACCTAAAATAAATATCGAAAAATTGTTAATTCTCAGCCTGAAACATACAGATGTTTTCATTCTTAACGTTAGAGGCGGGGTGGCCTGGGTGTCAGCTCGCCCGATGTTAAGTGGGCCCCTAATGAAATGATCCACTATATCGAATAAAAATGCAATAAAGAATCAAACAGAGACTAATGTTTTATTAATAAAAAAAGAAGTATTTCATAAAGTCATCTGCACTATCAGTTACTCAAGTTGAGAGGAAATTTAAATATCATAAGACAAGGTTAAGAAGTTCACTCTCTCGGGAGAATTTTGGAATCATATATGTTGCTATCTATTGAAAAGGAATTGTTAGATGAATTGGATGCAGAAGAAAATTATTGGCAGATTCGAACATCCATCTATTGAATACAAACGATTGCTCTTAACCTAGTGGATAGCATGCGATTTTGTCATTTTGTAATTTTGTACTATCTGTTAACGTATAAATTGTGTGATAAATTATTTTAAAATATCAACCAATTACTTAAAATTAAAAAAAATAAATTAAAAATTAAATTATAACATTATTTACATTCTACATTTACATTTGTAATCTATTGCCAGTAATATGTACTGTATATATACATTGTCGTCGTGGCTATCCCTAGAGGTCAAGGATGACCGTCTTGTTTCGTTTGCCTCAGTTTGATTTGGGGACTCTTAGATGGATAATGAGATCGATTTTTGCTTGAAAGGTCCTTCGACATTGAGGACAGGTGGTTCTGGATGGTGGATTAGGTCTTGGTTGTTGTCTTTTTTTAGACATTTTTACCTCTAGTTTGGATTATAGTTTAGATTCAAAGATTGTTGTTCTGTCTCTGATAATGGATCTCCACAGATTCCTGTCTATTTCACTGGATTCCCAGCTGTTGATATCAATTTCATTTCTTCACATTTTGTTTTAGAACTGTCTTGAATCTCTTCTTTTGACCACCTCTTTTCAGATTTCTTTCTTTGAGTTGGGAGGAAAAGATTTGCTTTGGTAGGGAATGTCATCCATTTGCTCCAGATGTCCACTCTATCAAAATTGATTTTTTTTATGATGACAGTAGTCCACATATAAATAATAACTCATCACTCCAGAAATTCAAACAGAATTAACGGAACTATGATATTTGACACCAAGCCATGAAGTATTTAGCCCTTTTGAATATGTCTATAACTTGGGAAAGGAATCAGAGAAAACCTTACTGAACAAGCATGAATAAATACTCTCTTGACGTTGTTAAAGATGCTGGATTAGGCCTTGGTTGTTGTCTTTTCAATGTCTTTTTTTTTTCCTCTAGTTTGGCTGATTGTTTGGATTTGAAGATTGTCGTTCAGTCTCTGACAATGTGTCTACAGAGATTCCTATCCATTTCACCGGATCCCCAGCTGTTGATATCAATTTCATTTCTTCACATTTCGATTTAGAACGGTCTTGAATCTCTTCTTTTGACCTTCTCTTTTCAGATTTCTTTCTTTGAGTTGGGAGGAAAAGATTTGCTTGGGTAGGTTGATGTCATCCATTTACTCCAGATGTCCGCTCCATCAAAGTTGATTTTTTAATGACGATGGCTACATTGATGGCCATTTTAGCTTGTTCTAGTCCGTTGACGTTAGTACTTCTGTCTTCACAACTGATGTTCAAGATATTTCAAAGACAATGCTGATGAATTTTTCAAGGAATGTCAGATGTCGTCGAGGATCTTTCTAGGTTTCAAAGGCATACAGGAGAATTGGAATCATTACTGCCTTGTACACTTATATTTTGCTGTCTGTTCTGATGTCATGATCTTGGAAAACTGATCCTACACATTTGAGACGGTGTTGTATCTCATCTTGAAGGTCAATGCTAGAAGACAGATTGCTACTAAGTGATCAACAAAGTGTTTCACCAAGTTCGATCTTTGGTTTCGTTTGGATTGTTTCAGTTGGTGATGGTTGACAGAAGAATTTTTAGGCCAACTTTGGTGTAGGCATTCAGTATTTGTTTCAGCTATGATTCAGCAAGTGCTGCAAAATTATTGTCATCTGCATATTGAAACTCGATCAATGAACTCATTAATGTTTTGATTTTACAGCGAAGGCGGACAAGACCCAGCTTGGAACGATTCATATTAGTCATTGTCGGTGAATACTATGGAGCACATTTCATCATGAAGGAGCTTCAGGATATGGATGTATTTTGGTGGACACCTATATGTGGAGAAAATATCTCATAAGAGCTCTCTTGACAGAGAGTCAAATGTTTTGATAAGGACAATGAAAGTCATGTACAAGGGTTGGAGCTGTTCTCGATATTTTTTTCTAATTGACACAATGTGAAGAACATTTCTATTCTTCTACAGGATAGTCTGAAACCGACGTGTTTGTGGAAGGATCATTTCAGCTAGTGGCATGAGTCCGTTATTCATGGTATAGGTGAGAATTTTCAGCTGTTGAGAGTAGAGAGATTCCACTGTAATTTCCGTGGACGGATCAATCTCTTTTCTTCCCATCTTTGAAATCTTGTGATACAGCTTCATTTGTCCAGATTTTCAAGATGATTTGATGCAGCTGGTGTTGAATAAGATCAAAAGTAAATATAGATCAACAATACTGAAGACCAACACTGATATTAATACTAGATGGAAAGAGCCCTTTAAAGAACGACAGAACCAAACCGTCAACTTTGATGCAACATCTTGTTCTGTCTCCCATGGCTTCCTGTTGGCGAGCCCTTAAAATCATGAAATCAGGGAAGCCATCAAAGCTATGAAGAAAAACAAACCCTGTGGACTAGATGGAATTCCAGCAGACGTCTACAAATATGGAGGCGATGTACATTTTAGGCATCCGTTTATATCGCAAGATAAAGTCAGGTCAAAATTCAATTTCGTGGTGAAACTCGAGTTATCTCTCCTGGGCGCGGGCCTGGGCAATAGTATATGGAGGCTATGCGCTGCCTAGACTATATACTCGCCCCTCGGCCGTACCGAGAATATCCAAATGAATACAGGGCATTACATTTTAGGACGGCTTGACTGCAGAAGTTTCCGGAAAGTAACCAGTGTTGAAATCCAACTGCCTTCGGGGCCCCACTCCGCGTTTTCTGTCTGGTTTTACTTCCATAGCCTTTTCCGTATTTTGGATACAACCTCAAGGCAATGGAGGTTTAAAAGTAGGGTTTTCCTTCCCCTAAATCGACTGTAGAGCTCCATCTACCCGAAAGTATTATAACTAAAAAAAAAAAAAATCGCTTATGGAATTCCCTTCCGGCTCTATGCTTTCTAGTTAAGTTCAGTCTTCTAAAATTAAAATGCAAAAAAGTTGGTTCACTCTGTTGTGCTAGACAATTTTTCTCTTCAGAATCTATCTTACATATCTATATGTCTACCATTCGTCTATGCTTAGAATATTACTGCTATATTTGACCCGGCGCTCCTGTTATTTACCTAGAGCTCTGTTGTGGAGTAGTTTTCACATTGCAGGCTTGTATTTTAATAAGTCGTCCTAAATTAGGTTCGACGTACAAAACGTTAGGAACTTGGAAAATAAGAGTTAATGACGCAGCAATCTAGTTATGATGGTTGGTACTTCAATGTCCGATATCGTCTGGCGACCGAACTAGCGACTGCTACTACTACTTATTACTTATTGTCTATGGGAAAGTCTATTACAATAGAATAGGTACGTCCAGGTGTGGCAAGCTCCTTGATAAAATCCAAAGAAGAATCAGAAATATTCTTGGCCCTGTTCTGGCGTCTCGGTTTTAGTTTATTTCCTACCGCTGTGAGGTTGCCTCCCTGGGCCATTTCTATTAATACTTTCATGATAATTGTTAGGATGAGCTTTTCGCTATGGCACCTAAATTTAAGCGCAGTATTAGACTGGCGACGAGGTTTCATCATTTTACTGTTGAGCTGATATTGTTGATAATTTTATTATATATAAAATGTACCGCAGGTATTTTTACTATAAAAATGTATTTTTAATATTTCCATGGGTTTTTGTCTTTGTTTGAGACTCACTATTTTCCCGTATCTGAGACCCTAACAGGTGCTACCACCACTGGGAACAACAGCGATTAAACACATCAAAATGATTCAGTCTATTTTTCGTTTTTCACCCTGTGCAAGGTCCAAGAGCCACTCAAGGTAGAGGGTTACATCAGGAAAAGGCTTTAGAAGGAACTGGAAACCTAATCCTAAACATGGAAAACCCTCCTGTTAAAAAAACTAAAAACAAAAACAAAACAAAAACAGGGAGGTATGTGAACCGGACGATAGGCGAACCTATCTACTCCTACTGAGAAAAGAAATAGTAATTAAACAGTAAATAAAAAAATCACTGATTTAGGCGGAGACATTAGAAGTATAGAATTAAAGTAGAGTTTAGAAGGAACTGGAAACCCAATTCTAAATAGGAAATAAGAGATACACATCTACTTCTTTTCAAAAGACCGAGGAGGTGTGTGCACCAGGCAATAGGCGAACCTATCTACTCATGAAAATAAAGTGAATAGCATATTGCTAGTAATTAATATTCAATTAATAAAAAGAACTAATCAGGCACAGAAACTCAAATGATGGACGACAATCTGTCGGGTGTAATGGCTCGTTTGGTTAATTTAACGAGATATCAACACTTGTGAACTTGTTTAATGTTGAATATAAAATAAAACTGATGATTAAAAAAACTTGACCTTAAGTCTATTTTCCACTTACACTCTTCTGCAAATTAATTGAAAGAAAACGAATAATTCCGTTAATTATTTTTTTTTCGTATTTTTCCAATGAAACATGACCCATTGCACATGTAAGTACTTCGTATGTTAATACCACGAAGTTGTTCCTTGCTGATTGATAACAGATTCTCGATTGGATTTAAATCAGGAGAGTTTCTGGGCCAGTTTATAATATTTTGATTTGCTCACTGGTAAGGCTTACCAGTGTGTTCGTGCAGTGTAACAATTTTCGTACGCTTCCTTAGAGTAATGTCCATTGCAGACAATGGCCGTAGGACAACTAATCGACAGTAGAGACAATAGTGCCTGGGCGTGATGAAAATCTGATGCAATCACGGATATATTTTTCAAGGCCAAACAAATTTCATCACACATATTACTGCACACCACTGCAAATGACCTAACCTGAGGTAAAAATAGAAATCAATTACAACCTGTCACTTCAGTGCGTCTAAGACTGACCATATGGCGAAAGAAAGAAAACTAAAGCGGTTGTATCAATTAATTTGCAGAAGGATGTCTTTTTTACAAATTCATGCTTAAAATAATTTTATCTTTATTTATTTGACTGGATAGAATTTTAAGAAACGTATAACGTATCAAGTCAATTATAGTGGAAATAAACGCAATTAATTGATAGTCTCGACAATATTTGATGTTAAGTTATGGAGTCCATCTTGGGGAACTTTCTCATTATTAGTGTCTTGCGAGACTGGTACTGAAAATACTGTTCGACGATATTAAGTAAGGAAGAAAAGACTCAACACTAACCAGATTAATCTTTTGGTCTACGTCGATGATGAAGAGTTCTTCTTTTTGGATATAGAAATCGGCAGTCATAAGAAAAGACTGCAAAGGTACAAGACCGACAATCTGAGAACCGACCACGGGCAGCTTCAGTTCCTATATAAGAAAATACATTTATTAAGCAAGCAAATTTTTAAGGTAATGAAGTCAAATTTAAGGACTTGACAATACAATACAATGTATATCAGTCGTTCGAAGAGACTATTGTGGGGTAATATGATCAAAGTCAGCATATGAACGAAATAAATGTAGTTTGACCAAAATGAATGTACGTGTGGTGTACAGCGGCTCGAAATGAGAAATCAAAAAGCCAATTTCAAATTCCAGCCAAGTTCGTTAATTTCACTTGGGAAAGTTATGAATCCATCTCTTCTACCCCAGTTATGGGTTAAATAGTGTTGCAATTTTGGCTAATCCTCGTCACCAAAATGTCATAATTTTGGCTAATCCCCGTCGCCAAAATGTAATTTTGGGAAGGTTACTGGATAGAATAATCACACGAAGGTTGGTAATGAATGATAATACTTAGGACAAGAACAACACATATAAGATTCACCAGCAGCGCGTAGAAGTAGTCAACTGCTAGAAGTGAGTCAAGTGAATTTCACAATGAATCACCAACTGCAGACCAACATACAGTATTTACTACTGTATTTATGTGAATGGGGACATACCCATTATCGTCCGTAGGTATGCTAAAACAAACAGCAAGACAGACGAGGTTCAATAACCTTGGTTGGTGACGATTCTAGACATGGTAACTCGATAAAACCACCTAACAAGTCTGGGCCACTCATGGGGATGCATCGGCCGCTGAAAACGCACAGAGACTTCGGTCGCATGAGTTGCGCATTCTGCTGCAGGCGGAGAAAGCGTTTACTTTTTTTCGGCAAAAAGGGGAAAGTAAAACAATAGATTTTGATTGGCGGATTGTTGTCTTAAAGTGAACGACATATTGCTGGTATTTAACATACGTTTTTATAATAAAGTTCAGCCAATATAAGCCCCAAGAGCCATTCAAGTTAGCTCACTGAATGAGGTACGTAATAGGAGGACGGCGGATGTGATGATTTTTAAGATATATAGGATATATAATGATTGACCCTCGGCTTAAGAAATTAACAGTGCAGTGTTGAGAGAAGCATATGCAGGGGTCTGTTCCACAAAGTAGCCATTCTTAGGGAAAAGCTTTCGGGGTGACACGCCCTTATTATCATACGTAGGAAATGAGGGTGATCCATTCCTGTGAGTGTAGCAGAAGAAAACTAAGCGATTGACGATAATCTGTTCGCGTTAGGTCGTTTCCTTTTGTTGTATTTTTTTAATCATTTCACACCAGGCAAGGCGGCAATGCCACTAGTATGTGTTGAGAGATTCTTGACAAAATCCAAAAATCAATGTTATTGGTCCTGACATCTCGGCTTCAACGTAGCTTCCCTTTGCCTGTTCTATAAATATCTTCATGATAACTGTTCTGACGCGATTTCCTTGTTGGTTCACGAATTTAAGCGCCGGCGAAAAATCGAGCAGCCGAGTTCAAGTCGGTTCTCTGATCAACAATTCCAAATCATTATCCATTACACCAGACGCACAGCCAAGCTTACAGCACCGTGATATTTCCAAGCGGTCACCCATTTAAACACTCACCAAGCTCACCGTTGCTTAACTTCGGTGATCGTACGAGAACATGCGCTTCAATGTGATGGGGCCGTAAGCATGGAGGAGGCGTCATTAACGAATAAATAAACCATGAAATTTGCTCGAAGCAAAACCAACCTTGGCGTCCTTCTTGATCTCTTCAAAAACTACGTGCAGCGGAGTAACTTCATAGTCCAGTAGATTCAACGAGACTTGCGCCATATTGTATTCCTTCAGGTACCATCCTATGCCTTGTACCTTCTTCAACCGTCCAGGCTGAAACAAAAAGAAAAGAAAACAGAATGATTGATAATAAAAAAAAAAAAAAAAAAATCAAAACAGTAAGACTTAGCAATTATGTTATCCATGTGGACGTGATTTTTTTTAATAGGATACTATTTCTTATTTCAATAACAAAAACACGCACAGATTGTAACTTGTGATTATAAAATAAATGCAAGTCAAAGAGATTTTTTTAAAATAATAATAATAATAATAATAATAATAATAATAATAATTGTGTGTGTGTGCGTGTATGTGAAGTTCTGAGCGTAATGAAGAAAAAATATTTATTTTTCACAACGAATACTTATTTTGCAACATAATCTCATCCTTTGTCAATGCACTCAATTCAGTGCTGGATATTAATAATATAGATCAAATAATGTGCATTATAATTTTCAGGAAAAAAAACAAGCTAGTTATTATGTATTTTATTGATACTCTCTCGTATGTAAACACTAATGACTCAAAACATTATAACCCCGGCATTTGAAGAAAGACGGGGTGGGGGTACAATAGCCGAAATGGTTTAAAGATAACAAGAGAAATGAAGACACCCGTCCGAGTAGATGCGTATATACAAGAAAAGTGATGAATGATATCACAATACCTGGTCCTTGCGACCCTGTTCTCGAACATTGAGCGCTATCCGATGGGCCTGTTCCTTTGTACTCAGCAGGTTTACATTAAAAGCGATCAAATACTTCCGGGCACCGATGACTGTACCTCCCCAGGATTTGACGAAATTGGCCGGGCCAAAATCCGGTTGCCAGTCGGGATCCTTAATCTGAAAATAGTTCAAATATTCAAGTTTAAGCAACCAGCCGAACATTAGCTTTATTAAGAATAAAAAGAAAAAAATTATTCTTTCGTTCCGAGTAAAAAGGGGTATGTTTATTTGTTTGGAGGAGCAAATTTTCCGACTCACCCAGGTTTCTTAAGAACCCCATTTATTATTTATTGAGAAAAATTCCGGCCCAAGTCCTAATTATTAAAACCTCCACTTCTATTAGGCATCAAACAGTTAAGTTCCGTACGTGATACACGCTTGGGCGATCATGTCTCTTTTGATACTTGACTGAGTAGGCAGAAGATTTTCTCATTAGTGTTATAGAGTAGTTTCACAGTGGAGGCTTGTATTTCACTAAGTCGGTCCTAAAAAGGTTCGACGTACAAAACGTTAGGAACTTGATATAAGAGTTAATGACGCAGCAATCTAGTTGTGGTGGCTGATACTTTAATGTCCGACATCGACTGACTCACCAACTCTCTGAGCTCCCTCGCAACTGCTACTACTACTACTTATTATATGTGGGAGAGTCTATTAACAATAGAATAGGTATGTTCCAGTATAACAATTAGGTTGCCATTTCTTTCTGCCAACCAAGGATATAGAATCCTGTATCTTGCTATTCAACAAATAGGTGGAGGGAAAAAAATGGATTCATACCTTTCCCAAGGGTATTTGCGCGTAAGTAAATGTAACGACCTCGACTGAATTTCGAACTCAGCTCTCTGATTTCTAACGCACATCCTCCGAATAGTGGCAATGACGTAAGAATAAAAATAATAAAATTATCTAATATAAAAGTAGCAGAAGGACGAATAAGGAGATAGGAAACTCTAAACAGAGAAGCCACAAATAAATAAACAAAATAACGGAAATAAAAGCAGATGCATAGTCACTTCAGCAGAAAATGAATTGCAGATAAAAATGGAAATGGTTGTGAAGAGAACATCTAAAAAGCGAAACTGGATCATTCTTAATGGAAGCCCACAACAGCGGAATATTAACCAATTATATTAAACTTTAATATAACTGGTTAATAATTCCATTAATAATAATTATTAAACCCACAATTAACAAAATACGGGAAATAGCGTGGCCTGCTTACGTCCTAACTTCCATAACACATAGAATCAGGCTGTCGATAATAAATCGATCACGCGAGCGATCGCTTTATATATCTAACAGGGTGCGACATTGCTTGCTGACAAGGTGTGACATTGCGCGTTGACAAGGTTTGACAATACGGGTTTCTACACAAACTCTCCGGCTGTGTGATCTCTTGAAAGAGTCCTTACAATCATCAAGTTTCTATCAAGTCGGCACTTGAAGGTCGTTGTCGAAGGCTAGTTAGTCCTGAATATAACGATAAACTACATCTGGCAGCAAGGCCTCTGAACGGAAGATTGAAGCTTTTGAGGAACGTGAAACTGCCTCTTAATGGCTGTTTTTCCCACGTCCACCCTGACCCGGGGTTGTAGCACCTGTTAGGGTGCCACTTATGGGCAAATAGTGACCCCCAAACAAAAACAAAACCCTATGAAAGTATAAAAATACATTTTTATAGTAAAATTATCAGCAGTACATTTTTATATAAAAATATTGCCAGCAATACATGTTTATAGTAAAATGACTGACAATATATTTTTAAAGCACAATGACCAACAATAAATTTTATAGCAAAATGACTAACAACACTGTAGTGGAAGTCATACAATTGCATTCAAAATATTTACATTTCGGCATTAAATAATCCATAGAGGTGTTGATATGACGCTAAACAAAACCAACCATCTTATTTTCTAACACCAGAACCACTTCCAATGTATACGGCATGCCAAGAACTATGCACAATAAAATGCATACTAACAAATTGTAGAGACTTCACTCAAATCCGTTTAAAATACTATCAGACAACAAACATGAAAGAACTGTTTCATGATATTAATCCATATAATATCCTACAATCTCTTTGCACAAAAGCTGAGTATCCCTTACCATGTATTCAACTGTGAAAGCAGAATATCATATCCCATATTTTTAAATTTCGGCATTACTTGACCCATAAAGAGTTGATATGCCGTTAAACAAACAAATCAAATCAAATCGAAAGCCTTTGAGATCAATATAGGGGCCCCAGAAATCTCACTGTTCGGCCCTACCCCCTATCTGGTTTATATTAACGATCTACCTCATAACATTTTCTGATTACTAGTAAATATCAATGCAAATGATGATATAGTGTTTGGGTGCACCTCCAAAAATCAAGATGATCAGAGACTGGCAACCATCTCTCATCTGATCAAGATCTCACAATCCAATGGAGAAAAAATCGAGAAGAGACATCTCAGTACCGCCGATTGAACACCGCTGACTGATCGCCAGGACTACTCAAGACCGAGACAACTCAGCACCAGAAGTTTAATTCGGGCAGCTTCTTCCTAAGAGCAGATACTTTATGGGACAAACGCCTGCAGTAACAGTCCAGAATCGCAGGTAAAAGTCCAGAATCGGAGCCATAAAACAGGGGACATAATTCGCATACTTCATCAGTAATGGCTCTTTGGAGGAATTGAAAGAAATTCTAAAGAATTACTTTGTAGAATTTGTTCCTGATAGTTCGAGAAGCACACTTGAAGCAGACGTATTGAACAAGGTTCTACAGTCTTTATTAATGGTTGATCCAGTAATATTGTACTAAATGATCACAAAATTATGAATTAAATTCATTAAAATAATTTTGTTGACTTACATGAAACTTTAGTTCATATTCAAACAGTAAAGAATACTGGCTTCATCTGAACCGTTTTTTCAGAGAAAAAGGAACCAACAAACATCCGCACGAATGTATATATATATATATATATATATATATATATATATATATATATATATATATATATATATATTCTGATCCTGACATCTTCAATTCGTAGCTCGCATCTTGGGCTGTTCATCTTGCTAACGACCATACATTCTGTCTTTTTGTTTTCCTATACTACTTTGCCTATGAATTCCTGTCTCCATTGGAATTTTCTGTACTTATCTAATCCTAACATTTCCAATTCGTAGTGTTCTGGGTATGGCGATAAACTACATCCGCGTCCTGGGTAAGACGATAAACTACGTCCAACAGCAAGGCCTCTGATAATACGTTTTTGAAAAAATAATGTTGGCAGCTGTACATTTTTGAAAAAAAAGATATTACCAGCTATATTTTTTTTGAAAAAATAATATTATCAGCTAAACATTTTTGAGAAAAAAATATTAACAGAAATGGAATTTTGATAAAACAAAAATACTGTCAGAAAAAAAAAGTTGTCGGCATTAAGTGACCCATTGAGGTTGATATGCCGTAAAACAAAACAAACCAAACCAATTCGGAGCTCTCATCCTGGGATGTTCATCTTGCTAACAATCATATATTCTGACTTCTTACAATTGATGGTCAGTTCTTTTATTCTTGTTTTCCATTACTGCCTTCTCTAGGAGTTCCAACAGTTGTTTTTCTGTTCCTTCCATTAGTACCTTATGCGTACCTTATGTTTTCTACCACTTCGTCCCCAGCCCCTCAACCTCCGGCATCTTCCTCTTTGGGTTGAGGTGTCCACTCGGTCCGAACCGAACTTAGGGGTAACTGGCCGTAGGCTCCCTGAGTACCCGTAGATTATTTCGACCGACCAACTGGTCAAGTCCTGTTCGCTGCCCACGCTGCCCACGCTGTGTTAATTTTTAGACCCAGTAAGCGGGATGTTGTCCATACGTTCACGGTCGATTGGGGGTGTGGACACGGCTGTGAGAGTTGGCGGTAGGAAGTTTAGAATGTGGCAAAATAAAACAAGAAATAATATCTGCAGAAGCTAGACAACAATGGGGGAAATATTGGCATCTTTTATATAAGAAAATAACATCAGAACAGAGGTTACGGGGAGAATAAAAACATTTAAGATAAATGAGAAAAGAAAAAGAAAAAGACACAATGCATCCGGCGAATTCCCAACAGAGAGAGGATCTGTGTGTGATAAACGCGTATTGAATCGCCTGGGGTAGATTTATGACTAGTAGTCCAGTCTCATACATACATCTCAAAACAGGGGGCAGTCTTCCTTCTCTAATTCTCCCGCAAATCTCTCGTGACTCTCTCGACGACGGTCTCGTTTCCCGACCCTCTCTCCCGTCTCTTTCTCCCGTCTGGCCTCTTCCGTCTCGCTCGACCGTCTACTTCCTCTTCAGTATAACTACGCTGATTTATATAGATGAATCTGGTTGATCATGAATCGACCCTTGGCTCGGCATGCGATTAACATGAGTGCCAAAAACTATCCCTTGACATATAAACCGATTCTCCAATTATTTACCTTATCTCAATCGCGAGTTCTTCTCGCTTCCCCAAAATTATACTTTCGGATATCTAAACATTGATTCAACCTTTTAATCAAAACAAATACTGTTAAACAAAACCAAATATCTCATAGCCTGAGTAAGCTCTATTTCAATTATTAACAGGTAAATTTTATTTAGATCATTTTTTCATTGTTTTTTCTAATGACCCAGATTTAAAATATCGCCTCCTGCCTGAGATCGTGTTTCTCATCGGTAAACACACATATTAACCTAAATTGTACTTTGATGTATAAACACCATTTCCACTTCCAAGTCAATTAAAGTTATATTTGCGTGTGTGTATTCATGTGAGTGTGTTATGTATACCTCTCACTGTTACATTATTAAGATTGTGTTCACCAGTAATAAATTATGGTAAGACTTCTAACTACTTGTAAGTGAAAAGATAATATTAATAATGATGCTTGTTGCAATAATTTTTATTTAAAGTTAGCTATATGCAATGCGACAAGCCCTGATCTGGTATCTCGCTTACAGCCGCTCTCTCACAGACATGCCGTCGCTTCACTCTGTCTTTTCTGCAAATACTTTTACGGTAACTGCTCTGACGAGCTACTTTTGCTAGTTACCAAACTGCATGAATTTAAACGTGCTACTAGGTTGGCATCTCAGTCCCACCCTTTCACTGTCGAAACTGTTAAATGTAGCAGTCTCTTCTACTCCAGTAGCTTCGTGCCTCGCACTTCCCGTCTGAGGAACTCCCTTCCCCTTACTTGCTTTCCTGATAGCTATAATCTCCAACTATTCAAATGTTATGTCAATCGACATCTCCAGATGGCTTGATCTATTTCCCGTCTTTCTTTTCATCCTTTTCTCTTTCTCGCCTCTTTACTCTCCCCCCCCCGACCGCCACTCGCTGTAACCCCTTGCGTGCTAGTGCCACTCCCGCCTTGCTTGGGGTGATAAGCTTAAAAAAATAGATAAATAAAAGTCACCAGAGATTACAAAGCGACACAACTGCTACGAAAGGCAGCAATTGAAATATGAATTTAATCAGGACTTCGAATAATCGTAAATAAAGCATCTCCCAAATATTTGTATTTATAATCAAGTATAAAATATTACCTTATCTGCCAGTCCCTCGTATTCTCCGGCTCTGATTGTCGACAGCAACTTTCTCTTAGGTGTACGGGCCGCCTCGCCATAGAGATAGACTGAAACAAATAAAAAAATTCTGAATTCGAAATGTAGATATTGGGAAATGTACTGTTGGGCAGGCAATAGCAAATTTCTGTTCTGGTTCGCTATCTCCTTCTGTCGGCACAGAGGTAATTCACCTGACAGCAGAGAGCTACCTTACTTTGATTGGTTGATTGGTTGTTTTTGTTTAGCGGCGTATCAACCTCTGTTAGTTATTTAATGCTAAAATCTAAATATTACTTACGCAATTTTAACTTTTTGTGGGAGGAGGGTAATAATGGTTTTAGTGATATAAGTCTTAGCAATATATATATATATATATATATATATATATATATATATATATATATATATATATATTCATATATATATATATATATATATATATATATATATATATAGTCATATATATATATATATTCACATATATATATATATTCATATATATATATATAAATATATATGAATATATATATATATTCATATATATATATGAATATATATATATATATATATATATATATATATATATATATATATATATATATATATATATATATATATATATATATATATATATATATATATATATATATATATATATATATATATATATATATATATACTTTCAGGCCGGTAAATGTCCGAGAAATTTTCATAGAAAATATTCGTTCTTTGACAGGATTCGAACCTGTATCCTAGACGGAACCGTCATACGCTGACGTGCCTAACCTCTGGATATATTGTAGCGTCTTGTCGAACGTAATTTCAATGAAGAAATGAATTGAATAAACATATATATTTTTTCTTTTCTCGATAATTTTGTAGTTTTTAAATTTAATAGTGATTAAATTTGGATTTTAAAATTGCCAGTTTTTAATTTTAATATTAAATTTTATCATATAATTTTATAATTATTGGTTAGTATAAATTATTTTTAATATTACACCTATCTTAAAGATCTGAATAGCTATTATAACATGATTTCGTTGACAAGCTTTTGAATCTTTCTATACTTGATTTTTGATTGGTTATTCTAGCTTTTGTAACAATGTTTCCCCCTAGTGTAGGATCGTTAATTAATCTGGAACTTTTAAAACCATTTATTTTATTTTCAACATCATCACTTGATAAGACACAGAGTGTGTTGAAACAAAATGGCTATTTTTGTAGTGATTTTATAACATACTTATGTTATAATTTTTTTTTATAAATAATAATTATATATATATATATATATATATATATATATATATATATATATATTCATTCAAGTATGTTTGGTTGAATATCTTTATTTTAATCCTCTCAAATTCACTGATGAATTTCTTTTACAAAACTGCGTAAGAAAGACGCCGTAGTTTGGGATATTTTTTTTATTTTCCCAAGTACTTCCAATATCATCTAAGATCATCTTCAGAAGTGAATTGTTAAGACAAAAATTAATGTAACTGATTGTTGCGAATTTTTACTTTTTTGTAAATGCGCATGATACGCGCCCTGCTATAGTCAATTTACGTTAAGAATATGTAAAGGTGGTAACTTAGTTTAACATTTTTTATTGTTAATGTTTTTAAAAATACTCAACATGCAATTCTTTTTAAAAAGATTTTACAAGATTTTTTACAAATTGAGCATCCCAAAACGTTGCTTTTATAGACATTTAAAAACCTTGTTGATATACAAATAATTCATTTTATTTAGTGTTGGTTTCCTTTTTTTTATATAGAGCACTTTGAGAATTTGAAGTTTACGTTTTTCATTTTTTTAAATTTTCATGCTGGAGTATACTTGTATTGTCAATTAATATCAGCGTGGATAGAGGAATCGACGAACCGAGTTCAAATTTCGGACTTGTCGATTGCTTTCGCTTTCACTTTCACACTAATGCCTTTAGGAGAGACACAAATTCGTTTTTTCTACCCCAACACTCCAGCTATTTATTAAATAGTAAGGTAGACTGGGACAGCTAGCCTTAGATGGCAACCAGTCTAAAAGAAGGAAAAGGCAACGGGACACTACTCCACTATCTTTCTCAACCATGAATGGCAATTTACAGATATTAAAGAAAAGGAATCTATAGTGAACTGTAATCACCTATGTTCTGACATGTCCTCGATATTAAAAAAAAAAAATGGTCATAAAATGCTATGAATCCATCTGTGGGTTAAATAGTAGATTAGACTGAGCTCTCTAGCCTTGAATGGCAACCAGTCTAAGAGAAGGAAATTTCTTATTTCCAATTTAAAGAAGACAACGGGAAACTATTTCATTGTTTTTCTCAACAATGTATGGTAATTTTAGATAATAAAGAAAAGAGATGTGAGGAGAGCTATGATCGCAATATTGCATTTTAAAAAAATTACCAATAAATTACAATTATTTTTTTTAATTTCGTTCACACTGCTTCGAAAATAATTTCTTCTTTTCAATTCTGACAACATTGCGGGACTGAATATATATTTACTTCTCAGCATGCAATATGACGAAAAATATCGCATATTTTTTGTATTAATCTTGCGTGTAAAGATGATTTATTATCTGCCCTTAAATATTATTGCAATTATTATTATATCTATTTTTTCTTTATATTCCATAACGCTTTTCTTCGGGTTGATTTGTTATTCGGAAACAAACAGTTAAAGGGGGAAAACTCTTGCTCAATATGGCCACGAACTTTATATATTCAACTTTTCTTTCACCCACAACTTTGTGATAATTGATTTTATTGCACGAGCAACCTTAATTTATGAGAACCCATAATATAATCATTTTTAATCCTGACCTGAACACTAAAATTGCCACATAAAATGCAACAAAAATAATTTATTAGATCAGAAAAAAAAATTTGTTTTACATTTTTATCTTATGCTTATGTTGTGATAAATTTTGTTTCCTTTTTCCCCAATTTGGATGCTCTGTAATGGGATGATCACGTGATCCTAAACGGCCAGTCGACGGAGATACATCTGCACAAAGTCCTGTGGAAAGCAACTGTGGTTGTTTTATAGTGACGTAGGGCTTCGGAGTTAGAATGAACAGTTGATTTACCCACGCCAAGAAGATTAATGGAGGTTGATAATGACGAGGAAATACATGGGTAATTTTAACAAAACAAGATAAGGAATTTATTTACAAATTTAAGCGCTTGAAGTTGTGACAGTAGCTCGTTTCAGGAAAATAAATCAGAATACTTAACGTCCGTAGTTTTAACGTATTGTCATGGACAGGACATATTCATACGGCAGATTAAATGACACAAAATAATATTAAAAAATGTTTAAAACAAAGCTAAATAGTTCGTTGTTCACGGAAGGGATATACAGTGCCGTGCAAAAGTAAGTGAACCTCTAAGATCATATTTAAAATAATTCTCTCTTTTTTCCAGATAATCAACAAATCTTAATTAAACTACATATTAATTAACAACCACTTTCAAAGATTTTTCTAAAGCTGGAATAAAAATATTAATTAAAAATTAAGATGTGCAAAAGTAAGTAAATCCTTACATTTAATATTTGGTGACTCCTCCTTTTTGAGTTTACAATGTCAACAAGTCTTTTACTATAATTTTAAGAAGTTTCTCGCAGTAGTGGAAACCGATTTTTGACCATTCCTCTTGGCAAAATTCCTACAATTTTACCTGGGTTTCTTGCCTGCACAGCCTTCTTTCACTTAAATCACAGATTTTCAATTGTGTTTAAATCAGGACTTTGACTAGGCCGTTCTAAAACTTGAAATTTCTTTTTACAAACCCATTTTTCGTGGATTTGCTTTGACGCTTCAAATCATTGACCTGTTGGAAGTTCCAAACCCGACCTAAACCCAACTTTTGAACTGAGGACAAGACACTTTCATTTAAAATTGCTTGGTATCTTGCAGTGTCTATTGTGCCGTCAATGCGTACTATTTTGTCTGTTCTAGCTGCAGTAAAGCACCCTCAAATCATAATGCTGTCACCGCCATGTTTAATGATTGATATCAAATTCTTCACTTCAAAAGCCGTATTAGGTGCTCAGTAGATATACTACCTCTTGTTCCTTCCGAAAAGTTCTAGTTTGGTCTCATCTGACCATAAACTTTTTGCCAGCATGTTTGTAGCGCATTATCAAGAGCTTTGGCATAGTTGAGGCGAGCATGTTTATGCTATTTCGTAAGCAATAGCTTTTTCTACGTATTCTGCCATGAAGATTGGCACAGTTCAGATTTAGTCGCAATGTAGATGTATGCAGACTGATTCTGACACTGGCCAATGAGCACTGGAGTACTTCAAAGGTCATGGCAATATTTGCCTGGGCTTGCCGAACTAGATGCCTACTTTCTCTTGCTGTTAATTTTCGCGGATGATCACTTCTTAATTGTGATACCTCCATACCAAAGGCCTTCCATTTATAAATAATTTGTTGCACGGTGGATAAATGCACTTCAAATCGTTTTAATAAATTTTTTATATCTGTCTATATTTCTGAGATGAGGTATTATGTACATTATTTACATTATTCGGACTATTATCTTCATCTTTGTCGCCATATTTATTACAACGTTTCGGCCGTTGTACGCTCCGGCCTTCTTCAGGTGGTTGGAATTTCGAACTGAACCCTTTATTTCGCTCACTGGGGTAGACTGTTCTAGTTCCAAGTGCTATGTTTAATGGGTATCAGTTATCAGTGATCTCCTGTTAATTTCCCTCTCCAAGTTCTCCACTGGCTTAACCGGATATTGAACTCACACTCTTTGGGTCCTGTCACTGGATCTAACTAATGCCTTTATCCACTGTGCCATGTGTCCTTGAGGTAGTGGAGAACGTTTAGAGGGGAATTAACAGGAGATAACTGATAACGGACATCCACTAAACAATGTACGTGGAACTATAACAGTCTACCCCAGTGTGCGAAATAAAGGGCTCAGTTCGACATTCTAACCAGCTGAAGAAGGCCGGAGTGTACAATGGCCGAAACGTTGTAATAAATATGGCGACAAAGATGAGGACAATAGTCCGAATAATGTAAATTTT